GGGGAAGGAGGGGGAGGGGGGGGGGGGGGTTCCGTCTGCACAATAACCCGAGCTGTTTCAAATCAAATCAGCAGAACTGACTCATAGGTAAACTTGATCTAAAACCCCAAATGACTACAGTAACACACACAATTCCCTGGTCTTTCATCTATCCCCCTAAATTTCCCTCAGCCGTCGTCCCCTCTCCTCCTCTCAGAGTTGATCTCCTCCTGTGGCTCAGAGCAGCCAGGTGAGTCTGAGCTGCCATCAGGCTTGAGCTACAGTGACACACACTCTCAGAAGATTCTGTAACAGCATCAGCATGTGCAGTCTGAGAGCTTACAGGAGCATTAGTGAGCAGGAAGCCTAGGGGACGGCAGCAGTGACTGGCAGCAAACAGACAGCTCGTGTTATAAATCAGCCTGGCACAGTCTGTGGAGAGAGAGAGAGACTGGAGACAGACCGCATTGCAGGGCAGACACACATAGCAGAGCATGAGTTCAGAAATGGAGGTGTGGAGCAGTTCGGGAATGGATGAGAACGAAAGAGACAGCAGCACCAGCCATGATGAAGATGATGAAGAACCAGAGGACGAAGGGGAACCCGACACTGAGGGACTGTGCAGGGAGCTGGTGCAAGGTAACAGAGAAAGATAAGCAGACTAACGGTGTGAAAGAGGGGAGTTATTCGTACAGAAAGAGCCCCATGCTGTGAGGCAGGAGGAGAGAAAGCGTGAAATCAATCGTGAAGGTCTTTATTTGCTGAAGAGGGTATTGGACATGAACAGCATGTCAGTAAATCCTCATTATCATCTGCTGAAGAGGTTTCACCTCCAGCATGTGGTTACAGTCTTTTTGTGCTTGCATCATTTGGTTTTTGTCATAATGATGGAATGATGGTTTTGACCTTGTTGAAGTGTGTCTAAAATATGGAGTATAGATGGATATACATGTATGTATGTATGTATATGTATCTCAGAATATTTAAAAAGAATATTTATACATATATATATATATATATATCTATATAGTCAAGGTCAACATTTTTTTTTTCAACAAATTATGAACTATTTCTGTATCTAGTCTGTATTTTAATCAAAAAAAGAATCTTTCCTTTCCTGTTTGGTCCATTGAAGGATATTGGATTTATTGCCCGTCTTTCCACAAGAGCTGAATGACTTTGATCTCTCCTGTCACTTTATCCTGCCTGCAGAAGCTCAGTCCAGTTTCACGTAGTACAGTCCTTAATGTCCTTAATTCTCTCAGTGACGTAAATCACAGCAGAACTGAACTCCTTCCAGGCCAGGTGAGCAGATTTAGCTGTGGCTCTGTCACTGGCCAGGAATGAATGAAAGGACACATGCGGACACTAAGCGTTGTGTACCACTCTGGTTTTGCTTCAGGATTCAGATTTGATGATTGATATGAATAATACAATCGTTCATTGTGTTAGAAAGTAAACAAAAATGACAGTCTTGAATGTCTTGAATTTCAGTGGTTTCATGTTCTCGGCAGCCAAAACACACAGTGGTGTGCGCAAACCATGAGTGTCTTCATTCCAAGCGAACCTGTATTTAATTAAAGTTGGTTTGCATTTTTGCTGTTTTCTTATTTCATTTTTTATAATGTTCTTGATGGTTTTCAAAGTTGGAAACAAAAGCCCATTTGATTTGCTCTCCAGGCTGTGTACATAAATATGGTTGGTTGCATAAATTGTTTTCGGGTTTAGCCATTTTTGCAGTGCATTTGAGTGTCTCTAGTGTCGAAGTTTAGAGCTTTATTAATGTAGTCTCTGCAGAGCTAAGCTGACTTTTAGCAAAGTCAAACACGTTTCATTCCAGCTGAAATTTGATTATGCCTCAGGGAAAGGCAAGAACCAACCAAGTGAAAATACCTGTGCTGAAAACAGCAGAAAAATAGAATGTACTCATGTAGAGGGTAGTGCTTTGCACATATTACTGAAAAAAAGAAAGAATAGAACAGAAAGTAGTATCCATATTTGACAGCAGCACCCTAACTTTTATTTTGAATTTTTTACATTTATTTTTTATTTTTGGTTTCTTTCCTTTAAATAGAACTGATAAAAAAATAGTAATAAAAAAAAAAAAAAAATCTTCATTTTATCAAGTTCTATTTATATACGTATTTATAGTTAATAGTATTATATTTTAATATTTCAAAAAATAAAAATGTACCCTCTGGAACCTGAAAATCTATTCATATTCAGCAGAAATTTTGATCAGCACTTTTGTTTTATTTTATAATAAAAGTCTCTAAATATTTGTCAAACAAGACACAGAAGAAAATCATTTTAAAGACATTGAATATGACGTGTAAAAAAATTATATTTATATTTTAAAAATGTTTTTTTATTTGAATAGATTTTATATTTTATACAAGTTTATTTATTTATTTATATTCAATTAATTATATACTATTTGTAATCATTTTTCATAAAAGAAAAGTGTACCCCCTGCAGCCTGCTGGTGCTAATCACTGGTCTGGAAGGTGTTTGTAAATCCAGGCCTGAGCAGTATTTATGAGTAGGGATGAAAATGAGAGAATTAACCCTTAATGAGGATCAGGCTGCTAAGAGGCTCTTGTTCTTGACTGCATAGACGTCTCTGTTTAACTGTCTAGTTGTGGTTGGGTCACATTGGCTCTACAGTGCTGTATAATGTAGTTCTGCACAGATCACACTTGTATAAGCAGTGCTTGATCAGAGGAGTTGTTTTTTGGACACATACAGTGACATTATTCTGAAATCTACTTCCATTTTTATTAGATTTTGTTTCATGAACCCATTAGCCAACTTTCAACAGCCTCTTTCTCACGTTCCTCCTTTCAGTATCTTTTTTTCCCTCCGCAGTGCTGTGCTCCGAGAGAGTTGGTCAAATCACAAAGACGTATCATGACATTGAGGCAGTTACACATCTGCTTGAGGAGGTGAGAGACAATTCCAAACAAACTAGTTAGTGGAAATGCCACTCTCCTTCCATTGATGCTTCAGTGATGACATAATAAAAGTCCCGCACATGCTCGTCTTCCTCTGCAGAAAGAGCACGATCTGGAATTGGCAGCCAGGATTGGCCAGTCACTGCTCAAGCAGAATAAAGCCCTGACTGAACGCAACAAACTACTGGACGAACAGCTGGAAATCACCAAGGAAGAGGTGATTATTGCTAAAAGAAAATGTTTTCACTTCTTTAATCCTTGTCTATACTTAATTTTCTATCTGTATATCTATCTATCTATCTATCTATCTGTCTGTCTGTCTGTCTGTCTGTCTGTCTGTCCTTCATTCTATCTATCTTATCTATCTATCTATCTATCTATCTATCTATCTATCTATCTATCTATCTATCTATCTATCTATCTATCTATCTGTCTGTCTGTCCTTCATTCTATCTATCTATCTATCTATTTATCTATCTATCTATCTATCCGTCTGTCCTTCTGTCTGTCTGTCTATCTATCTATCTATCTATCTATCTATCTATCTATC